CCTCAAATTACCATAGTAAAGGTTTCTTAATTATTGAGATTAGCATGGTTTACAATATTTTGCTTTAGCAAATCAACCCTGAACTCAAAGAGGCATATCGTTCGTTTTTCTCATTTGAATCTTTAATTTTTAAGTCCTAATGATATAGGGGGATGCTGTTAAGGTCAATAATAGTGTTTCATCACACCATTTAATTGTTGTTAATTTTCACACTTTAGTTTCAAGCATCCCAAAATGAGTTACAAACCTGGAGTATCATTAATTGGTATCACAGTTTAAAAAGAAAAAGAAAAAAGAAAAAAGAAATAAAAATTGAAGACTCAAAACAGAAAATAAAAAGGCGAAAAGAAAATAAAAAGGGGAAAAGAAAAAATGAACTGGGAATTCAATTTTCCAGTTCAAGAGAGAAAAAGGAAAAATGTCCTGTTTATGTTCTGAGAATAAATTATATCAAATGTATAGAATTGTTAATTGAATTATAAATTATCAAGATAGAGTCAATGAAAAGAACATCAAATAATTCTTAAAAATCATCAAAATTAACATATGTACCCAAAACCATGAAAAGATATATATAAATAATTCATAATTTATCAATCATCACATTAACATAGAAATCTAACAATATGTAATAAAAAAATTCCAACAATCAAAACAAAAATGTTTTCCCAATCATTTTCATTTTTGAAATAAAAAAGTGAAAAAAATATAATTGTTTCAAGTTAAAATAATATAAAAGTAAAAGTTGAAAATCCAAAACGCAAAGTAATGAAAAATAAATATCAGAATAGAAAATACTGCCTGACTTTTGACCTTCTTAACCCAAAAGAAAACGTGATACCCAATAGATCTCAAGTGTCAAATGAGATTAGAACAATATAACAGCCTGTATGACTTACCCAATTAGCCCAAGAAGGCCAATTTTGTTAAAAAAATCAAGGATTCCGAAAAGAAGAAGATGGAATGAAAAACTGAATCACTCATTAAACTGAAAATAATCTAGCCTTTAAATAGGCTTTACAAGATAATATTATCTAAAAAGATAACTATCCAATCTTATCTTATCTAATTTAAATGATAACAACCTAAAATAAATAAATAACTTAAACTTCCTTAAATATAGAGATAATGGCTAAATAATAGGATCTAATTTCCAACAATCCCTCCCTTAAACTGAAAGTCTTTAGACTTTAGTTTAAAGAAATTTGCATAACACATTATCTGCAGATCTGCAATTCAGAATCTGCAGGCCCTCCCTCAAACTGAATTCTACATGCTGCAAACACCAAGTAACTCTCTCAATTTTGAAAAAGCTGCTACTTTGAGGGGTTTTGTGAATATATCAGCCACTTGATCTTCTGTTCTGCAATAAATCAACTCAATTGTTCCATCTTCTACCAAGTTGCACAAGAAATGATACCTCACATGTATATGCTTGCTTCTCCCATGCAAAACTGGATTTTTAGAAAGCTTGATAGCTGAACTGTTATCACAATAAATTGAAGTGGCCTCATGTTGATTCAGCTCAAGTTCTTCCATAATTCTTCTCAACCAAATAGCTTGACAAGCACAAGAAGTTGCTGCCACATATTCCGCTTCTGTTGTGGACAAAGTCACAATTGGTTGCTTCTTTGAAGACCATGAAATTGCACCAGATCCCAGCATAAAAACAAACCCAGAAGTGCTTTTTCTGTCATCTAGATCTCCAGCATAATCACTGTCTGTAAAACCTGCGAGATCTGTCTAGTCACCCTTCTTGTAGAATAGCCCAAAATCTGCAGTTCCACATAAATACCTGAGAATTCTTTTAGCAGTTTGCAAGTGCAACTCCTTTGGTTGCTCCATATATCTGCTAATCAGACTTACACCATGCATTATATCTGGTCTTGTTGCTGTCAGATACATCAGACTTCCAACAATCTGCTTATACAGTTTGCTGTCCACAGATTTGCCTCCTGGATCTTTCACGAGCTTTACACCTTTGTCAACTGGTGTAGTGACAGAATTGCAATTCTTCATTTGAAATCTGTCCAGAACTTCCTGCACATATTTTTTCTGACAAACAAAAATTCCAAAATCTGACTGTACTACTTCCAGACCAAGAAAATAATGCAACAAACCCAGATCTGTCAT